ATATATATATATATATATATATATATAGAGAGAGAGAAATGATCATTTGAGAACTCATAGTTTCCCAAGAACCCGAGAACTAAAAGTGGAGCGTTGGATCAAAAAAAGGGATGGTCAAGATGCATTGTGGCGTTGTTGTAAATAAGTGGAAAAATAAAGGGACGGGGGCATCGAAATTAAATGGAATCAGGGGCATTTTATGGTTATAGAAATTGAATTATACAAGTACATCTCCTGATCACCATTCCTACTCTCTCTCTCTCTCTCTCTCTCTCTCTCTCTCTCTCTCCACGTCTCCAACGTATCTCTTCCCCTCGTCTCCATCCTGCCTCAATCGGTCCACCTCTACTCCGTCGACAATCAACATTGGCTACCAATCAACAATCTTTAATATCCAGATCATCGGCGAAGAATTTACGAACCTCTAGATCGACATCGTTCGTGTTCATCTTCGATTGCGATATTCGAAGCCCTAAATCGCCCAATTCATGATCATCGATTCATCGAGATCGATCAGTAATGATCTATCAAGTGTTTGTAAGCATCGATTTCTCTTTCAAATTTTATTCCTACTTTTACCAGACTATTGGCCATAGACTAGAGTGTCTCCTCCACTCGTTTGAGCTGCAACGTATTTCATCACCACCAATGCCTCCGCTTCCTTAAGGTATGATTCTTCTTATTCTCGTCGTCCTCTTCTTATCTCGCTTCTCTTTTAGGATCTGAAACCCTAGAGTAAAGGAAAGCTGACTCTGCAGTTTTCATACTTGGATGTGATCTTCAGAGTCGCTCAATTTTTATTGTCAAAACACACAACTGTTAGAGAATTGCCTATTTGATTGCGATTTGTTTTTTTTAATATGAGTGAAGAGATACTCGTCTCATTTTTCACAAACGAACAGTAACAATTATATTATTATCGTGTAGGAATTTGTTTTTTCAATGCTAATTGTGCTATCTAACAACTTCTGAATAGGAATCACCACCGATTCTTATGTGTTTTATTCGATCATCATCATTGTTGCACCTGCATATCTTAAACGCATGTTTTCCGGTTTTATTTGACTGGACTGTGTGTTTTTTAATGAAAGACTATGGAGTTTTTGAATGATAGCATAGAAATTACTTTTGTTTCTTGCAGGAATTCATTAGTGAAATTGTTGGATATCCCAATCCAAATCCAGTTACCCAGATTAACCAATCTGAATAGCTTAAATGGTTTGAACCATAAAATTGGTATTTAGGTAATCCAGTTTTCCAAATAAATAAAATAATCTTTTTTTTTGTGTGTGTTTACTCAAATCTAATCTACATCTTCAAGGTTTTTGATAGTTGTTGCACAAAGAAAACTAGTGCTTCTTATTGCATCAAATTCATCATTGAGTTCTTCCACTTAATAGTTTCTCAAATCTTTAAAAGAATAAGCATGGATTTTTTTCTTGATACATAATGTGGAGTTGTCAAACAACCCGTATGAATTATTGCTGCAGCAGTTTGGAATTGTCTTATGAAGTATAAAGCTCTCAAAAACTTCAACTTTCCTCAAACAGAAACCTGCGAGTTGCTCATTCTGGATAAACCAATCGACCAGGTTTATACTTCATACATTATTATATATACCTATTGCAAATTTGTTGTTTTTATTTTTTCTAATTTTTTTTCTAGATTGCTCCTGTTATTCACGAATGGAGATTTGATGCCATGTATCATGATTTACTTAACATGGATGGGAATAAATATGTTCATGAGGTTAGTCTCTGTTTCTAGGCATGGATTGTTCATCGATTTTTTTTACCTTTATTTTATGGTG